GTGTGTAACTCTCCACACAACATCTTCCGAGAAACAGGCGTCCGGTTTCTTTAGATTAGAAAGTTTTTCAAGGCGTCTTTTGTGACTGCTCTTCTAAGCCACACACCCTCCCCTGGGTTGTCCATCTGTGCCTGGGAGAGCGCTGTGACGCCATCACCAGTAATCCACAGGTATTACCAGAACTCTTGAACACGATCCTGAGGTATTACTGTCGGCCCAAACGGTACCTCCGGGCTTTATCTTCACTTCTCCACAGTCTCCGGTGGTCCTGACATGCCATTTACGCTTCCTTCATTAAAGACATGCAATTTTTCTTTCAGTGTAGTTGTGCTATACATTCTGCGTTCGTCCGTTTGTTCTTTCCTTTATTTCTTGTCTTTCGTCTTTTCCTCCTTCCTTCCCTCCCTCCTTCATGTTTTCTCTTGTCCTTCCGTCTTGCCTTCTTACCCTCCTACCTTCCTACCCTCCTTTCCTTCATCCCTTCCTTCTTTTCTTCCTTCCGTCCTTCCTTTCCCTTCCTTCATTCCTTTCTTCCTTCCTCTAAGCCCCCCCCCCCATTCTTTTTCCATGGATTTATGTAGACATCAGTTCTGGCTGGGAATTTGCCCGTCCTGATCCCGGCTGTCCCGCAGGGCTGAGCGACAGAAGCTCCGCGAAATGACGCCGTCACGGGTCACGTGAGGCGTGACGTCTGCCGTGACCCACAGTGCACCTGTGCCTGCCCTCCCGCAGCCCGTGTGATTGTGAGATTTGTGACGATTACACCGTCAAGTGACCTGTTTGAGCTAAAGGTTGTTATTGGACAGGTGCCAGGCGAGCAAAACATGTGGGTGTCGTAAATGACTATTGCCGTATATTTGTCGGTGGGTAGTAATTTCAAGCGTGTTTAAAGCGTACAAATTTACTCATCGCGTTCAAAATGGCAAGTGGCCAAGAAATCTATCTTCCGCTCAGAACCTTTGGTGAAGCTAAAAATTGCGATGCACAAGAGCTTAAAATGAATATTGAACTCTGCGTAAAACAAAATAGACTTATTTCCTATGTTTTTACAAGTGTATTACTGCACCACATCAGTTTTTATATGTATATAATACTCCGCCATATGGAAGGTCGGATGTTTTGTAGCAGGTCGGCAGTTTTCTGCCCGGCCGAAGGGCAATTTTCCGCCAGTGTGTCCCTGATCAGAAACCTGTGTTATCAACCCTGCACGGAATCAATGAGGAGTTTTAAAGACAGAGCTAGCTAAGATGTTACTTCGACCACAGGTTACCACAGCAATCTGCTCACCCCAAATGGAACACGCGTTCTGTTCAAATCACGTCAGAATCGGGTTCGAAAAAAAGATGGGGCATTTCGAACACGATTCGAGTTTTAAAATGGGGTACCGGGGCACACATTATTGACCATCCGTGCCGTGTTTTAGGAGAGTCATGTCAGCAACACTCACAATTGTCGATAAACTTAGAAGTGTGTTTGTATGGTGCTTAGACGGCCTAGTCGCGCGTCAGCCAAACCATTAACAGAACATCTCCGAGAATAAGCAGTATTTCTAGAGTATTATAGAACAACGGGACGCTGTGGAAAAGGGTTAAGGTTAAAAGTAAGATCTATCGACTTCTTTTATGAGAAACTTCTCCGGGCAAATAAGACACGTTATTCAAGACGGTGTCATGTTACAAACACCTTGAACCGGTTGACTTCAGGAGGTTAAGATGTACACGTGTTGCCGTCGTGACTTTTCAAAGTTGACAAGAACGTATAACAGGACAGGGTCATTAGATATGATGCAGTTGGACGCAAAAGTTTCTATAGTTGCAGAATTAATAGCATATTGCAAGTAGGATTATAAGAAGAAATGACATTATCTGTGGTTGCAAGGCTTTGGGCTTATCACAAAATTTTCAAGACCGAACAAGAAATTTTAGCAGCTCTCTGGATTGCCATTGAAGACCACTAGCTCTGCTTACAAGCTTTAGTTCTGGTTATTCGGCGACTTTCTGTGCACGGAATGACGGATTGTAAAATCGATCCCTGCACGGCGTGTACTAATTAGCGATAAGTCATCAACCCACCGGAATGTCTGATTCCAGAAACAGTCGATAACGTAATCTCACTTCGATATTCTCTAATTACCGTTATCCACAGAGCCTGACCATGTACACAGTCCAGTACAACATTGTTCTAATTAATACTCTTCTTTATGGCACTGGTATTAAAGAGATCAAAACCGACTTTCCAGCAAATACATGTACTATCATGCATTCAATCACAAAGAACCGCATCCTCACACGGTCACATTATACGGCCAATTTTTGCACCGTTTCTTTAGAAGGCAAGCCACAAGTCAGACCACCTGTAAAGGTATCGCTCACATGCTGGCCGTGACTTAAAAAAAAAGATTAAAAGCAGCAACTTTGGCGTCGACATCTCTAATACGTCTGGTCGTGTGGCGCAATCGGTAGCGCGTTCGGCTCACACCCCAGAGGTCGTGGGTTCGAACCCCACCTTGTCACCGATCTTGTGCCCTTGGGAAAGGCACTTTACACGACTTTCCTCACTTCACTCAGGTGGAAATGAGTACCTAGCTTCGGCTAGGGACGTCCCTCGGATAGGACGTTAAATGGAGGTCCCGTGTTTGGGGAGAGCCACACCCCACGCACGTTAAAGATCCCACCACATCTTTCGAAAAAGAGTAGGGGCATGCCCCGGTGTGCGATGGTACAAACACTACTGTATGGAGTTGGTGATTCACTTCAAATCACCCGAATGGAGGCCTGGCGAACCTCTGTTCCGTATCAGCCACATGGTGATTACATCACCACACATGGTGATTACATCATCACCCGGACGGAGGCGTGGCGAACCCCGTCTTGTATTAAGCTAACGAAAGGGTATGCCACCTCGTAAGGGGCGGTATAACCCCGACCAATACGGTCGACCGATGATGATGATGAATACGTCTCACGCAGAAGCCATGACTTGGGCGGCGGCGAGAGTGCAAGAGTGGGTTTTTCAAACCCTGAATACGCGCAAAGCAAAAGAAGTTTGACTTCTTCATGATACATGATCTACGTGGCAATCCATCCACAGTCGATCTGATGAATGTATCTCTGACACGAGTATCCTACAGAAGAATCATCGGTGGTCCGATCTCCCCTCCCGTGTACCTGAGGACACGTGTTGCGTAGCGCAGATAGCGGCGTGTATTTCCCTTCAGACATCATCATCACGTTATTATACAGCCATATCAACGGCCGCTATCAATTTATGGGGCGTGAGGCAGGGGCAGGGGAACATGTGGGTCTGGCAACTTACGCAATTGTTTGTTTGTGTTGTTGCCAGATATATTTTAGGAATAGTCACCAAATTTGACGGTTCTAGCGCAAGCCGTTCAGGCGCATCCGAGATGAAAGTTGGTGCGGGCCTCAAATCCCCCCCCCCCGTCTGAATAAGGTTAAGGAAATATTGTAGTTTTACGGGCGTCCTTTTGGATGGGACGTAAAGTTGGAGGTCCGGTGTTTAAGAAAAGAAGAAAAGCCACATTTCGAACACGTTAAAGATCCCACCACATTTATCACAAAAAGAGTAGGGGTCCTTCCAGTTGTGAGTGGTTCAAACCTCATAGTCCGATCTTACGTCCTGCATACATCTGCATCTGGGGTCGTGTGGCGTAGCGGCAGAGTGCGCGACTCGGAACTAAGAGTCCCGGGTTCGAGTTCTGACATGTCACCGATCTTGTGCCCTTGGGAAAGGCACTTTACAAGGCTTTCCTCACTTCGCTCAGGTGTAAATGAGTATTGTCCTGTCATGTATTTGTCCCCTGTGTTGGTGGCGACATTAATATAAGCTGAAAAAAACTTTAGTGAAGTGATTACATGTTGGAATTAAAAAAAAAACATCTGTATCTCTTGTGTCGATTATTGAAAATCCTGTTCATTTCTCTTCAAGTGATACATCATCTGTAATAATCACGTATTCCTGGGACTTACGGCGTGTGTGATCATGTAGGCGGGTCCCGCGTGAAAACTGATAAATGTCCCTGCCAGCGGGAACGGAAGGGGAAAGATAGAAGGTAGAGGGCAATAAAACATCAAAAGGAACCGAGAAGCAAGTGCCACGTGTAGACGGAAGTAACCTACAGATAAGCATAATAAAATAGAAGGTACCTCAGGTAGGTAAAGATCTAGGGACGGATATAAATAATGAAGACTACATGTTGAACAGTTATCTTCAAGATACAGATGTATTCATGTATGCCCCATGCATATGGGATCGTCTGCAAAGTCCATTGAATTTTGTATGTACTTCTTGAGACATGAGACTACATGGTACTTTTCCTTAAAGTGCAGTTACGTCTCTTTTAGCCATTCGTGAGAGGTATGTGTTACGGTGTACAGTTATAAGATTGACTCTTTGAGCAATACATCAGTGTACAAAGGTCACGTTGGTCGCCAGGAGAATTGAATGATATCGTCGAAAATTGAATGATGTAGCCTGTTCACAGTGGGTGAAACTGTGGGAAGACGTCAGATGGCCATGTTTGAATATACGTCTGTACGTCAGTAGGACTCATAGCCGTTGGGTCGAAGGTCGAGAACCCTATATTAGTATTTGCCTAATGTTGTAAATTGTTCCTGGTTGCCATCCTTTTGTATTATGGTCAGTTTCTCATGCACGTGGCAAGGATAATTTTATTGAAAAGTTTGCCACATGTCTTTTCTTGGCTGGTATAGAAAACTTTTCGACATTTTGTTTTGTATGTTCTAAAAGCTTTTACTCTATATATCTATAATCATATAATTTACAAAACACGCTAGTCGTAATTTCCGATACGGAATCTGTCAAGTTTGATTGCTGTAAATTTACAGCAAACAGATATTTGCCTTCCCACTGCCCCGGCGCGCGTACGGGCTGAGTAAAGGTCACTTGTACACGTAGACGGCAAACAAAATTTTTCCTTCCCGTTGCCCCTGTGAGTATCTGGTGTGCGTAAGGGCGAAGTAAATAAAGGTCACTTGTATAGGTAGGCAGGACGGAATAACGACAATATGGTACTGGGCACGGTCCTTCTGCTGTTCCCGCTGATCAGTACCGGGTCGCCGGCGGGTGGCTGGGCGGGCACGGACGCACACGAGGCCGAAGGCGGTACGGGTAGGCACGCGGTGGGCGGTGGACGGGCTGGGGCGGACTTAATCGCCGTTACCGAGGCCTTGCAGCGAGCCGTACGGTTCTTCAGCGACTCTTACACCGAGACCAACTTGGACGGGCTCTACGGGCTGCGGGTAGCGGAGGGTGAGTACTGTTTTGTGTCTACATATATATTTGATTATACGTTTATCTATCTATTTAACCACAGAGGCCCATATCATTACATAGTTAAGCACAAGAAAATAAACATATAAAGTTGAATATGGCAATATGTTTATACAGTACAATACAACACAATGCAAAAAAATACAGTGGTGGTGATTTATACGGACTGTTTATATATCAGGCTGATGCAGTGCTGCCAGTAATTACATGTGATCATATGTCAGAATGGATTACACGTTTTATGATACCATTATTTGACTTAAAATCTATAGGTTTCTTGAACCTTAAGAAATTCACGAACCTTTAGTATTCACGAATGTAAACAAAACATGTCTGGCAGCTTTTAAACACACTCTTAAGGCAATTCCTCTTCCTGAATGGCACTTACTTACAATTCAACTTACTTTGTAAAGAAATGACTAGAAAATAAACTTTTTGCATCATCCTGTTGTTAGATAATACAGCTTTTACTACGCGCTTCCTCCTCCCCTTGTGCCAACACGTTAAAGATCACAGAGTCGTATCGATACTTCAGATGAAATCGTTCCACCTGCAGCTGACCTGTGCTGCTCCCACAATCTACTTTGCTATCGACTTCCTCCTTCCGAGCTTCCCTCACTCCATCCATCATCAGTAGCCGGTGGTTAATACAGAACATGACCCCGTTTGACCCCTAGTGACACCTGCACATGTGGGAGTAGCTACCGGTAACCTCCCGACCATGCCATCCATAAAGAACCGTTAAACTGATACCGAGCTGTATCCAGAACCGTGATTTTTCCTTGGGCACGGTTCTGGATAGTCCACACGTATCCAGGACCATGCCTTTCTTCAGAACCATGCTCAGACACGGATCTGGATTATTCATGCGTATCCAGAACCGTGCTTTATCCATGACCATGCTCAGGTACAGTTTGGGATAGTCCAAGTGTATCCAGAACCATCCTTTATCCAGAACCATCCTCGAGCACGGGTCTGGATAGTCCACGCGTATCCAGAACTGTGCTTTATCCAGAACCATTTTCAGGCGCGATTCTACTCCTCTGGCTGGCTAACTCTTCTGGCATACTATTTTCTACTATTTTCCAGTAGCTCGGGGAACCTAGTAGAGGCTAGTGTTTTAGACCTTTTATGTTGGGTCAGAATCTAGAGTAAATAGCACAATGCAGAAGAAATGGCAGTTCTCCCGTGAGACTGTGCTGACAGGAGTGATGGATGGCCCATTGCCGCACAAGTCTGAAGGATCTGGGACACTCACTGGACTTTAAAATTCCATTACGGGATCTGAGGACCCATTCCGTCCTCTCCGAGCGCACACTTACGTACGGCGGGGGGATGCCGCTGTTCTATTGACCCTTTTGTGCGGCGGTAATGTGCGAGATGCCTGCTGGCGCCGCGCGCTGAGCCGGGCTTCAATATTACCCCGTTATAATTCCCACAAGCTTTGGGACTTTTCCGCCAGTTGATGTGATTCTGACGGGGTGCCGCAGAAGTTTTCTGTCATTGTCTTCCCACCGGTTTATCGATTGACCAAACTGTGTAGGGTTTTGTAGAGGATGAATACATATGGCTTTCGCCTTAAAACAATCATAGTTATAAGTTCAGAAAGCTTTAGGACTTTTCCCCAAGTTAATGTGATTCATTTTGAAGGGATTTCAGCCAAGTTTTCTGCCATTGTCTTATTTCCAAACGCTCTATCGATTGCAAGGATGTGTAGGGTTTTGTAGCGGAT